CAGGGGTTAAAAGTCCATACAATATTTCAACTTCAATGATAGTGCCACTTTGGTATTGAGGATGTTAGTAGAAGAAGAAGAAGAGAACTACTAAACCTTCTAGGATTGGAAATGTTTGCTGCTTCCTGTTTTTGCTATACAAGTACATTTAGCACGAGAGGATTGGAATTTATGAATGTTTGGTACGTTAAATTAAATAAAATAATAAGTAAATATCCTTCGCGCCTCTTTCTTATTCATGTTATATAAATCAATGTGATGCTCTTATTCAATAAGTTGATTGGCATTGTATTTCTAAGAAACAATTTTCTGTGAATAAATCTCAGCATCTGTTCATTTCCCAGAAAAAAAATTAATATTTCTAATTATTTTATTGTTGTTAACAATCATAAGCAAATTTTATTTTAAAATTTTGAAGTTCTCGATTTCAATAGATAGGCCATTATTCAAGCATATGAAGCGTTAAATGTTTGTGTGTTATTAATATACCACTATAGGAGTATAAGAGTAGTGTCTAGTACATGATCACTGGCAAAAAATTCAACAAATGATTGACATTTTTATTATTTACACTATTAAAAAATTCAATAATAATTAAAAAGTCCCATCTTTTAGGGGTAAAAGTTCTATACATAATATAAATAACAATTAAAAAATTACTCACCATAGTGAATGCCAAAGTATTTTTGTAAAAACAAGAGAATGGAAAATGAGATAACAAAAATAATAGCAAGAACACCAAGAGTGAAGTAATATTTTTGAACGCGTAATCAGTGTCCTAAAACGATATTTGCCTCTTTTAGAATTATTTGACTGCTTAAAGGGTGCACCGACAAATGATTTGTAGGATTATAGCTAGGAGTGGGCAACGGGTCAGGTCAGGCCGATTTTTACCCAAACCCAACACAACTTGAATTTACCGATTTTTGGGCTATTTTCTAAACTGAACCATCCCGGTCATTAACAAGAACCGACCCGAGACGATTCAGGTTGGGTCAACAATTTTTTTTTTCTTTTTTCGATTAGTTTCAAAATGTCAAATGAATCCATATTTGCTTGTAATAAAATTAGAAAAAGATTCATATTTTTTTCTTCCCGTTGATGATAGTTTGTCATTTTCATAAATCATGGTATCGTAAAAAATTTAACCAAAACAAAATAATTAAATTAAATTAAAAGCACACTAATTAAACTAAATAAAATCAAAATAG